CGCGGGCGGCCGCGGGTCGGCGGGGAGCGTGCCGGGCGCTCCCGGCTCGGTAACTCCATTCGCCCCCCTCTCCTTTCCGCTCGCGCCTGGTGGATATTTGGGTTCTAAGGCACTTCCCTTGGGCAGCCACAGACCCCGCTACGTCTCGGGTGCTGCGCTTGGGCTCAAGCCCCTGTCGCGGTTCCTTAAGGCGAAAATCATTTCGTACGTTTCATTTTCTTGTCCCTGAAATAACGGCGCTGCTCTGCCCGCTGTGCGGCCCCTCTCGAGACCTAACGAAAAAGACTTTTGGTAGCGACCTGGCCACGTTAGAAAAGCTGCTGCTCGAGCAGAAATTCAGAACGTGTCCCGGAGCAGGCGCTAAAAACGCGGTGGCTGCGTGAGTGCCCATGCACGGGAGGGAGGATGCGGTGGCAGCTCCCATGAACCTGGCACAGGCAGGAAAAGGAGGCTTAAAAATAAGGAAGATTAAAATAAAGTTTTTGATTGATGTGACCCGCTCCCAGCTTTAGCATCAGAGAGGAGAAAAGAGAAAAAAAATCCCCAGCGCTGGCAGGGCAGGAGCCTTTCGGACTCTCCCCCACTCCCTTTCTCCTTCTGGGCCGCCAAGGTCAAAATCCCCTGAGGCCGGAGCGTGGAACGGGGCTGCACGAACTGCGGGCGTACGGGCTGCTGCGGGAAACGGTGGTTCGTTAGAGTCAAAAATAAGGACAAAAAATACATATAGCAAGAAAAAAAAAACAGCTGCGACGAAGTGAGGTACCTGGACAGCTCCAGAGCCTCTTCCCTGGGCTAGAAAGGGAGCAGGAAGCCCCTCGGCAGCCCCGGGGAGCTGCGGCCACCGCGAGGGACCCGCGGGGCGAGAGAGCTGCTCAAGTCGCCCTTTCTCAAAAGCCCCTTCCCAGTCTGCGCTCGAACTTGGACATCTGTTGAGCGGCGAACGGTCCCCGAGCCCCGGGGGGCGCGCGGGGGTCCCGGTGGCTCCGGCCGCCCGCGGCGGGAATGGGAGCCTAGCACGAAGGCGCTCCAGGAAAACCCTAATAGGCTATTTCGGGACTACCGGCTCTTAGCAAATCTATAGCACCTGAAGTGTTAGCACTCAATTAGTGACAGGATTTCAAACCCCGCCGTTTACTGGGGAGGCATAAACAGAGTCCCCGGGAGATAGCCGGGCATTAGAGCAGGAGGGAGCTCCGCACATCTTAACCGGCTGGGATTAAGAGCAGAACTTTTTAAAAAGCTCCATTTCCCTCTCTCTAAACAGTTCGAGGTGTCGAAATATCAGGGGGGAGGATGTGCGCTCCGCGGCTAATTGAGGGGCAGGTTGGTTTTCAGCGAGAAAAGCCTTTTTTTTTAATGGCATTTAGCGACTCAGGCGAAAAACAACGAAGAAGGGTGTGAAAATCCACCAGGGAACCTGGCTGAGCCCCGAGCAGGCAGCAGGAGTGCCCTGCGGGTAGTTAAGATTCTAATTCTGATTATTCTGATTCTAATTTCACCCCTAATCAACAGTGTCGTCGTCCCCCCCCACCCCGAGGTCCCAAACGCCCCTGTTTGGAGCCGATCCGCGGGGCTTGGAGCCGGTGCGGAAGGGCGGGGGGCGCGGGGGGGGACCGAGCCCCGACCCGCAGGGCCCGCGGGCTGCTCCGTGTCACTGACTTATTCATCAATCAGCCGGACACAGAGCAGAGCCGGCCTCTCTTCGCGGAGTGTTTGCTTTTTCACCAATTATTGCGGCCCTGCAGCTCTTTTTGTTGATACAGTAGTTCTAAAAAGTGCTAATGTTCATTTATCAGGGGGCCGAGGCCGGGACTCCCACTAGTTGCGATTCTTCCAAAAATATAAACACGCGGAGAAGGGCCGAGGCTGAAGCCTCCATTTGTTTCTAAACCGCAGTATTAAAAGTGATGCAGTGTTGAAGATAAAGCGGAGATAACGGCGTCTGTCTCCCATGAATGTCTCCCCGGCGCATTAATGACATTCCAAATGATAGTCCCGGCTTATCGCTCAATTAATCACTTCCCCCTCTGCGGAATGAGCGGCCGCGAGGCTCGGGATCCGTCGGGAAGCCCCTCGGGTTGCAACGGGGACGGATGTGTCCAGGCAGCTCCCGCTCCCCCGCCGGGATCGCGCCCCGGGATCTCCCTGTGCCTGGCCCACTCCAGGCTTTTCCCGGGAAAGGCGTTTTGGGAGCCGAGGAAAAGGGATATAACCCGGGGTGGGTGAAGGAAGCGCTCCCGTCTGCACACATGCACCGGCAAGGCGAGCCAGCAGAATATATATACTCTCTCTGCATATATAGTATATAAATTGCTTTTTATTATATTATATTATATTATATTATATTATATTATATTATATTATATTATATTATATTATATTATATTATATTATATTATATTATATTATATTATATTATATTATATTATATTATATTATATTATATTATATTATATCATATTATATTATATCCCCGCTCCCGAGCCGCTGCTCTGGCAGCGCGGCCGCAAGGGCCGCCTCGGCTCCCCCCCCCCCTC